TGGGTTTCCGAGGCAGTATCACTACGGAAGTAGGATTGCCCGACCTTCCTTCCGAGGAGTGGCTGGTGGGTTTGAACCGCCAGCCGTCCGGTTAGCAGGCAAGTGTCTTAGCCACTATGCTACCAGAGCTCCTTTGTAAAGAGTAGCCCTTAGCTATTTACAGTTCTGCCCTGCCCCTGCTATGTATTTTACATCCCTGCTCTTTCACTCCTATCATTCCTTCTGATTGGAACACACTCTCCTCTCTCACTTGCGTTATTATTTATCCTTCAAGAGTTTTTTCTATGGTTACCACACCCAACACTGTTCCCTCAAAACACTTTTCTTCATTAATACAAGTTGGGCTAAGCACTTTCCTGTGCTCTCATAACAGCTCCTAGCTTTTGTTACTTTTTTTAAAATTACATTTCTCCTTTCAGTTATGATGGAGGGAGATAACAGCAAATCTATAAGCCAGTTAATAAAAAATGTAACAGCAACAAAAATCTGTTTTAAAGGATCAAGCAGCAGAGGCAAGAAGGCCTTGAGAAGCCAAGGTTCTGTAGAGGTAGTAAGAGGAGAAGAGTCAACATTCTCCAGTAGCCCATGCTGAGGTCAAGGAAGAGAGGCTAAAAGCCTGGACAAAGTGCCAAGAAAGGGCTGCTGCTGAGGAGACAGAGAAATCAACAGAGCTTTGGAGTCCTGTAGTACTGGAGGCAAAATCTGAAAATCTGAGGAGCCAAGAACCTAGTGGGGAGAGGGTCGGAAAACAAAACATGACATTCAGCTGATTATCCTCCAGACATTTTTGCAACTTTTCAGAAATTCTGAAGCTAGATGTGGCAGGAATCTAAGAAGCCAAGTACAAAGCCTCCAAAAAGCAAGAATACAATCAACTCTTTCCTTGGGGAGTTCAGCACCCTCCAGAATAAGGGACTCTGGTGAACATGTCAAACTCAGAAACCCTGCATTCCCTTTGGCAGATGGGACAAAACAGAGGCAGATGAAAACTTATCCAGTCAGCTCAGTTCCTCAACAGATTAAAAACTCAATCTCCCAATTCCATGTGCCCATCAAACAGGGAAGACTGAACCTTCTTCTCTAAATATCATCATCTAGAACCTCTACAATTATTCTTACACAATGTTCAGCATCCAATCAAAAATCAGACATGACAGGAGAAAAAAAGAACAAATGACCCAAAACAAGAGAAAACAAAAACAAAAAACAGGCGAATTATCTGGAAAAGCCTTACTAAAAAGGGGAAGGTGGGGAGATAAGTAAAATAAATGGAAAG